TTCAAATTATAAGGAATAGGGAGAAAACACTTCTGTGAACACAAGATTTCTTCACGTGAGGAACTGCCAGCATTAACAAAGGGTTATATTAGGTAGATTGCTGGCACACTCTGAAAAAATTTCGTTATATATAAAAGGGAACGAATCTTACTCTTTGACAACTGTAGCTAGCTGGTTATTTATCTGGATTGCTTAGAAACAACAGACCAAAGTTTTCTAAAAAGTCTGATGTGATATTTCTACCTAGTTTACTTCATTTTATAGAACTGCTGCCGACTTGCCAGTTTTTGATGAAAAGTGTAAAAGTCTTTTCCCTGCTTTCTGAGACAAAAAAGAGAAACGTGTAAGAAAAATAAAATATGTGTTGCTTAGCTTTAGCAATCGCAAAGCTCATGAACATAAAAAATACTGGTTTGCCTATAAAGTTATAACATGGAATGAATTTTAAAGAATAGCTCACTGAGACAATAAGTAAAATTTTACTAATTGAATCATTGTCTAACATGTTTATAATTTAAATTAAACATTTACATTTGGGGCGGTTATGGAAAGCAGGCGAAAAGAAAGATACAAACAGAACACAGGAAAAATATGTTTCAAAGAAGGTAGTGCCTTCCACAGTGTCCAGCAGATACTAACATTTTACAGTACGGTACCGACACACAAGAGCAAAAACTCAAAATGCATTACTTATAGATCTCGCCACAAGGAATTTTCTATAATCTGTCTCAATATCTGAGCTGTGTTGAAGTTGGTAATTTGTATATTCCGTGGCTTCAGATTTTTCTTTTTAAATCAGCTCCCAGACTTCTGAGAACTAAATGTTTGCCAAGACTAAGTCAAGTTTTCCTACCTTTTGAATGAGTTTGTTTCTTGATTTCTGTGTAATTCTCAAAAATACAAAACCAGTTTATATCACAACTGGGAGTCAGAGGTGGATTTTAAAAGCCTATCACAGATATTTCTTGGCTTCTGTGATCAGAAGGACTCTCATACCACATTGCTCTGGATGTTCCCCGACCTGACCCACTCCCAAACACCTCCCTTCTCCTGTCAACCACACCCCAGCTGGGCCCTCTGAGTCTTTTACTCTCAATCACAGAACCCTGCGCATACAATCTCTTCTCCCAACTTTCTTTTTCTTTTCTTTTTGTAACCTAAACCTGATGGACCAGGACCAGTGAGTCTAATACTTACCCTACGGCCCTCTCAATGGAAGGCTGTTTCTTACTCTTATGGCCAGGCACCTCTTTGAACCATAAGAAATTATTTCACACATCATTTTTCAGATGTGCTTCCCGATTCATACTCTTAGATTTTTTAATTGGGGTAGCACATTTCTATCAATTGAGTACCATTTGAGTTGCTATGATATAGTGATTTAGTCATTCCAGTAGCATTTGGAAGTACTGAATTCACTTTAGAGCATTTAGAAGTTTTGTTGAGTCATAGAAGGCTGGTTACTGTTTCATGCGAGGTTAACTTTCCTACAGAACCCTCATTTAGAAATACAGCAATTTTGGCTAATCCTTTAAATTAGTAGTCAGAATCTACTAGCTCGGAATTAGGTGACTTATATTACAAGTGCAGTGATTGATTGCTTGACTGAGATTTATTGTATTACAAATGCAATGATTGATTGCTTGATTGATTTAATTATTTATGAACTCACAATTATATAGGAAGTCCACACCACAGGCTAGGCACCATGGAATGCCCTCAAGACACAATAAACCCAAAACAGATGCGGGTTCTCCCTTTAGGAGGAAGGATTGTAAACAAAAATAAGAACACAAGTTATTAATTAAAATGACAATTATAAAAAATAAAAATTAAAAATTAAAAAATAAAATATTTAAAAAATAAAATAAAAATGACAATTAATGCAAAATATTATTTACTTCTACAAGTACCCCACAGGAAAAGCCGAGTATGAAATGTGCAGGATGGGGGGAGGTAAAATTTAAAGGGAATCAACTTGTGGAGAATGGCTGCTTCTGAGACAAAGAAAACCGAAAACTAGAGGAGAACAAAGAACATTTTACCAGTGTTTTTCCTTCTGCTGGTATAGCAATGATTGATGCCCAAGCAGCCCCTGCATTGTGGCAGATTAGGTGTATGAAAAATGTGTTTATTTTTCAATTAAATAAAGGGAACAGTTTTAGTTTTGCCTGGCTTGAAACAATTCTGGCAGTCACAGCTGGGAGTTCTCATATACTTTCTGCCCACTTAATATCATGCTGGTGGTGATGCTGCAATTAAGTGGCCCATGGACTCCGAACACGTTGGCTTTCTGCTTCTTGTTAGTGGAGTCTTTGGATCCACAGTAGAGTTGTTTGCCAGTATGTAAACAGAAGCCTAGGAGCCGAGTGCTTTGATCTGACTCTCCTTTTTCTCTTTGGAGTTTTAGAAATATTTTCCAGGTTTTTATATACGGCTTTTTTTTTTCTTGTTCAGGATTTAATATGCAAAAGCTATATTTTTAAGTAAGTGAATAGATAATTCTTTTGCTTTTATTGTTTTTTAAAGCATAGATAACATTTCCTGATTCTGTTCAGTTTAACTGCCAGATTAAAAAAGAAGTTATAATTATAGATCCTTGACTCAGTGCAGAATAACACCAATCATAGGGACATTGTTCTGGTTTTGATTTCAAAGTAATTACTGAGCAAGGCTCCTCTGAACTGGAACATGAATCAGCATTTAGCAAGGCTGAGTTTAAACCTCTACTCCAGATTCTGAGTGACAGAGAACTTCTAAATAGGGCACTGTTTGTTCATAGTTTTAGGTATCTGTGATTTACTTGGCTTTGTTAGACAATAGGAGCTTTGGTTCAGTTATATTTTTAACATTCCTTAAAATAAATCAAAGAGTGTTCCCATTTTGGATGTGGATTAGTATGGTGGAGGAAATGAAGAATTTACAAGTGCCGCACTCGGGCCAGGGATTATGCACTGCGGGCTCTGTGCTGGATTGCCTTGATTAATATTCTTTTGGTTGCACGGAATAGAAACTGGCTCTGGCTGGCTTAGAGGAAAAAAGTAAGTGGTGTTGGCATACTGGAAGAATATTTGGGTATCTCACCGAATCCAGGACTCAGGCAAAGCAGGGATCAGGAGACTTTTGACCTCAGAAGTTCCTGTGTGTCTGTCTCCCTAGGTAAAGTAGTTGAAGGGCCTCACTAGATGATTCTCCACAGGAGGCCCAGTGGGGTCCGGTCTTCACTTGTGGATCAGTCAAGGTCAGAGGGGCCGGATAATACCGTTTAACCAATTGTTTGTGGGCAGCCACACCTGTATTTTATAGGCAGTTTCCAGAAAGAGGGGAATTATTGTGAACTGGTGGCCACACTAGCAAGGTCTACTATATGAAGCATTTTAAAAGCCTAATTCAATTTTCACAAAAAGCCTATAAAAATCACTATTTCCACCTCACATAAAGAAAACTGAGACTCAAATTGGTTAGGCAACTTGTCCAACGTTCCACAGTTAGAATGTGGCAGAGCCAGAACTCCAACTAGGTTTTTAAGGGGGGGGGGTAGTCTTCTTAAGATTAAAATATTGTGAGGAGAGTACATGAACTAGAGTTTCAGATATCTTCTCATAGAGAGAATACCAGGTATCTCCAGTGTACTAGAAAGAGTAAAACTGCGTGTTGAAAGCTGTGGGTTGAATCCCAACTCCATCTGGTCATCATGGGCAAGTAAACACCTCTCCACTAATAAATGTGGATATATCATCTCCTTCACTAGATATTGTAACTTTATAGAGTCACTGGGATAACATGTGAAAATACTTGGCACAAAGAAGATACTCATTTGGGGGGAGGGAGAACTTTTCTATTAATGAACCCTCAAGGATGCTATTAAAAATGGAGTCACAGTTTGAAAATGGCTTTATCATTCCAAAAATCTAACCGCTGTCTTACTCTCAGCCTTTCAAATGGTGCCTTATTCACTTAAAAATAAAAGTAGAAAATGCTACATAAAAAGAGTCAAGAAAATCATACAATAGACAAAGAAAGTTTTAGACACAAAACATTTGACTACTTTTCTTTGAGACTCTGGGCTCACATTTCAGGGAAAAACTCTCACCTTTAGTTACGGCACAATATTTAAGCATTTAATTCTCTCAGCGAATATGACCTGAGATGGTCTAAGTCCTTTTGATAACCAGAGCAAAAACAGAATAGTTCTCAATGAGATCTATAACTTGAACATCACTGAAACAGATAATCAGCTAATTCAGTTTGGAAGGATTAATGTATTCAAATAGTCAATTCTTTGCCCAGATGATCATTCTTAGTTATGTTTAAGGACAGCTCTGTGGGAAAGAAGCACCGTATAGCAATCCAAGAGTTTATAGTTGTGCTTGCTGGGTGTTCTGCAAATACTTGTAGACTGATCAGTATCAATTTGTTTTGAATTACTTCAGACAACAATTAGCCTAAGTCAACAGCAAAGCTGGAACCCCAAGTAGAAGAAAAAAATCAATTCGTGGTGGTAGGGGGTGAAAGAGAGGTATACACTATTATATTTCCTTGACATTTCTACTGTCTCTGGATCTTAGTCTCTCTGGATCTTAGTTTAAATGACCTTCTATGCTTCATTTTCATCTAACTCATATTTAAGTGACTTGTAAATGATAAGTATCTTATTATTTTAAATTTGATGACAGAGAGTGAAATGATTTTAAATATGCCTATATCATTGTGTTATTGGCTTGTTCCTGAATTAAAAGCCCTCCTCCTCTATTTACTATGCTGCATTTCAAGTGAGTGGCCTGTTTGCTTTAATTTCTTTTTTTAAATTTACAAGAGAAAACTAATTAGTTATCAACATTTAAAGATTGTTGGTAAATATTATTTTAAATGGTTAGGGGGAGGTCTATATTAAAAACATCATCATCCATGGATATAGAAATTTGAGCAAGAAAGATCTTTTAAAAAAGAGTTAATTAATTTTTTAAAAAGATTAAAAAAAGAAAACTAATAACCAAATAAGTTTTTGGAGTTCTTTTTATTACTCATTGAGAAATTCCAGAAAAGTACAAAGCCCACGGAAATAGAAGCATTTCAGAAAACAAGACAAAATGTTTGCATACATTTTAATGACAGCATTTTAGTTTTGATGTTAAAAAACCCATGATTTCGCAGTAAAGTACATTGCTCATGATTTAAGTACATCCCCATACATTAAGTACTGGGAAAGGATTTTATATCTTTTATATTTGAACCTGAATTCCTATGAATGGCTAAGTTATATTATCTTTCTAGAGATTAAGTTCACAATATGATTAATAAGAAAAATGATTTTATTGATTTATAGTGACTTTGAAGAATAGAAACAGGAAATAAGCATATATCACACACATACCCCTTCAGGCAGTACGTCAGATCAAAGCTGAATTAATATAATAATGTTCAGTATTTTTAATTGCTACCGATGAAAATACATAGATCCTACTACAAAAAAGGGGTCTGGTAATATCAGAATGACTCTTTGTCATATCAGTGTTTTATATCGAAGTTACATAGACAAATAAGTGATGTTGCAGTCCATGCTGTTTCTATCCTCAAAATCAAATAAATGTATGATTACATTCTAGAATCTTATCAAGAGTCACTGTGAAGCAATAAGTAAAGATATTTACTATTTTTGCCAAATACAATATAATAGGCCACAAGAGGCTATTAAGTTTAATTAGCTTTTGGTAATGTGGCAATTTTCAGCGGCTCTTGGGTCACATCATACTTTCCGTTGCTGCTACTACAGCTACTGATCCTAAGAAAATGACAGTAAACGTAAAGGAGAAAACAAAAGAAAATAAATTAGATCTCGTGATAGTTCTTCTAAATACTGGTTTGGTTTACCCTTGAAGTGTAAATCAATTCTCCAAGGTTTGGAAGGAAAACAAAAACATCTTTATAATTCACAGCATGTATTTTAGAGGTCTAATGATTTCTCCATTGCCAGTGTGGGTTAGCTTGTCATGTTCTCTTTATTCAATGTCAACTGGTTCTGTAGCTATTAGCGCACTTAACTGTTTCTGAGCACAAGAGAGGAACAGTTCCAAACTGGACAGGCTTCTTTGGCGGATGACTTGATCAAGCTGTTGGGTTTTTGTTTTTGTTTTTGTTTTTGTTTTTTTGTAAAGAGAGAGAAAAAGAGAAAAAAAATACACTTAGTTGACGGATAAAGAATATATTATGCCACTGAAGCCCACTAGAGAAACTTTTTAGATGATGATTTAGAAAATCAAATAGTGCTTTAAATTCAGAGACAACGTGGTCACCAATTCTGGCCTATAATAGCTAAAGTGATATGATACTCATTACAATTTTAATATTGATACTGGTATTCAGTAATTGGAAAATAACATAAATTTGATCATAGTGATTTCAGAAAACAAAAAATGTAAAGATGTCAGTTCTTAATGAATATACAGACCAAACAGCCACAAAGATCATATCAATATAACAGATGTGAAAAATGAAAGAAATACACAGTACAAAAATACAGCATAATTACATCATGCATTGAGTTTAGCAGAATAAAGGAAAAGTAAAGAGACCATGTCCTGAAGTTGAAGTTAGAAAAAGTTCTTGGGACAGGTGTACTTTAAGAAATCTTGACATTGGTGAAACTTACTTGACCTGGTCTTCCTGCTGAGTTAAGAGATTGTTTTAATGTATCAATAACAAATTAATATAGTGAGCAAAATGTTAATAATAAAAGTCACATAATAAAGAACTTTCTGGATTATTGAATACATCAAGATAAGTTTCTAACTCCCCTTCTGCCCTAAAATATTTGCCCATGGTCCAACAGACACATGAAAAGATGCTCAACATCACTCATTATCAGGGAAATGCAAATCAAAACCACAATGAGATATCACCTCACACCTGTCAGAATGGCTAAAATCAACAACACAAAAAAGAACAAGTGTTGGCAAGGATGTGGAGAAAAGGAATCCTTGCGCATTCTTGGTTGGTGGGAACGCAAACTGGTGCAGCCACTCTGGAAAACAGTATAGAGGTTCCTCAAAAAGTTAAAAACAGAACAATTGCACTAATGGATATTTACCTAAAGAATACAAAAACACTAATTCAAAGGGATACATGTACCCCTATGTTTACTGCAGCATTATTTACAATAGCCAAATAATGGAAGCAGCTCTAGTGTCCATTAATAGATGAATGGGTAAAGAAGATGTGGTGTGTGTATATTTTATATATATATATATTTATATATATGTGTATATATATATGAATAATGTATATAAGAATGGAATATTATTCAGCCATAAGGAAGAATGAAATATTGCCCTTTGCAATGACACGCATGGAACTAGGGAGTATAAATGCTAAGTGAAATAAGTCAGAGAAAGACAAACACCATATGATTTCACACATAGGTGGAATTTAAGAAACAAAACAAATGAGCAAAGGAAAAAAAATGAGAGAGGGAGAGAGACAAACCAAGAAACAGACTCTTAACTATAGGGAACAAACTGATGGTAACCAGAGGGGGTAGATTGGGGGATGGGTGAAATAGGTGATGGGGATTAAAGAGTACACATACTGTGATGAGCACTGAGTAATGTATAGAATTGGTGAATCACTATATTGTACATCTGAAACTAATATAGCACTGTATGTTAACTATACTGGAATTGAAATAAAAAACAATAAAAAATCAACTTACCCATGGTATAAAAATAACCAATGACAACACATTGCCTATAGGCTACAGAACAATGAAGGAACTAAAAAAAAAAAAGCCAAGTAAATTCCATCTCACAGTATAAACCTGTCATACTTATGTAAAAGTTGACATAATCTTTCCACAAACTTTCCCCAACATAAAAGAAAAAAAAAAATCCAAACCAGAATTCTGTTAAATTACACTTCTATAATCCACTGATATTCAAAATGACTGAAAAAACTGGAAGTTTAAAATGTTGAAATATCCTAAAAATTAGTTCATAAGAAATGCCTTTAGCAAAATGCACATGTAAAAAATTGAAAACCAGTAAGACTCCTTTCAATTCTAACAGCTTGGGATTTTAACATACATACAGAAATAGGATTTCCGTTTATCTTTTTTCCTCTTTTTTTCCCTTCTTCTCTCAGATGATACCTTCAGGGGAATATATACTTTCGCTTCTACATGTCTATTAAACAAGACAGTTCATTACAATATAAACCTGAAGTGAGCAGAGATCTTGTCTGTCCTGCTGACTACAGTACACCAGCATCTAGAAGAGCATCTGGTACATGCTAGACACTCGATAAATATTTGCTGAGGTTGAATGAATCAAGAAGCCTTTAACCAAGCAGAGCAAGGCGATCTACCAGGAAGTGACAGATCCATGTTTAATTCTAAAAGTGAAAACATGCTTGACCTAACCTAAAAGATAAGTAGGAGATAAAGGTAAATTTTAAAAGTTTTCTTTTAATACATGTAAAACAAATTAAAATATGAATATCTGTAGTTTTAAAAATTTTACACTTCATCCAAATTCAAATAGTACAGAAGAAGGTACTAATATCCAGTTCCAGTCCATTCCCAGTGGTTTCTGTCTACTTTTGGATGCTTTCAAGCGCTAAAGATGGGTTTTTAAAAATATTTGGTCCAGATCTTAGAATTGTTAACTATGGGAGGGTTCACACAATCGCTTTGTTCCAACTGCCACTACTGGAAATCTTCCCTATCTCATTTTTAAGAAATTGCTTGATTCTATTCCATGATTTATGTAGCCACTCTCCCCACGGATAGACATGTAAGTTTGCTCCAGTTTTGTCTTGTTTTTGAAGCACCAAGGAAATTAACAACCTGAGTGCACTCCCTTCAAAAGATGTTCAAGGGTATCTCTTGGAGAGATTTCAATAGCTGAAATTTCTACATCATAAGATTTGCATATTTTAAATTGTGATAGATAATACCAAATTGCTTTCCAGAGTGAGGATGCAAATATATCAGTCCCTTCTGCAGTGTATGAGAGGATCAGTTTCCCCTGTTTTCTTCTTTCAAATGGTTGCATACTTTCCCCTTGTGCATTTATAATTATATATGCATATATATAAAATAGATATTTTATTATTTATTTAAAAATTATTCTATTGATAGACATTTGGATTGCTCCTAACCTTTTGCTATTATAATCAATGCTGTAATGAACATCCTTCAACATAGACCTCCGTCTATCTAAGCTAGTACATCTTATAGAGATTACTTAAGCCAAAGCATATGTCACCTGCAATGTTATTTCTACCATGAATCAGGTTTCCATGTAGGCAAGAATCTGTCTTGGGGTTCCCTATTCTGTTCCACTAGACAATTCACCTATCCCCACACAAATATAATGCTGGCTTAATTACTACAACTTGATAATAAATCTTAATGTATCACATATTGACAAACATATTACCAACCATACCATCAATTTCAGAAGAATATAAATTAGTGAACATTTGTAATAAAATTGAATTTAAAAAGGAAGTGGTCAGACTAGAGATAGGCTGATACCTTTTTTCATACAGCACAAAAGCCAAGCAAAATTCAAAAGTGTATTATTTTGAGTTATATCAATAGGCAATAGAATATTTCTTTTTGAGGCAAGGGAATTATGCAATCATAAATGAGGATGGTTGTATCTGGAGTTGTATGTAGAGGATGGTGTCATGCAGATGAGACACGTGGATTCATTCTGGAGGGGGCTTCCTGGGTGTTTTACAATTGTTTCATAACTCATGTATACTGTACATATATCATAAATGTTAGTTTTAATAGTTCAAAGTCTTCTAAAAGCCCCCTAGGATAATTAGGAGTTGTATTAAAATAAAATTTGACTATCTTAGAATTTAAATTAGAGGAGAAACTATTCTCCTTCTGAGGTCCTATTGCACAAGCTCACATAATTAACACGTGACCTGTGATGGTTGCTAAGTAACAATAATCATCTGGATTTATGCGTTCAGAATGAATATTCTATAATTTTTTGAAAGCAGGGATATATATAAGGGCAAAAAGGTTTAATAGATTTATTTAAGCATACCAAGCACTTCTCTCTTTTTGCTTGTGGAATTAGTAGATTAGAAGATGATGGACATACTGGTTTTGGGTTTAGGCAGCTCCAGGGTTCACTTCACATCTTTCAGCATGCCTCCCCAGAACTGTCTGAAGTCAAGGATCCATTAAATCAACAGGAACTCAACACTTTAAGAAGCAATAAGGTGACACTGATCCTTTATGGGAAGGACGATAAGTTGGGCTATCAGAGCTGAACTTCCAATTTGGCGGGTCGTTCCCAGACATGATACAAAAATCGTGTCTGTGAAAAGGAACATTTGAGACCTTTCTCTTATAAAGGTGGCGGATTCCTCTCTCTGAAATGAGTGCATCAAGCTGATGTTCTTGGCAAATTCCTGAATTTCAACAGTTTCTGTTTTATTAGGCATTACCTTCCTATCCTTTATTGAGGCAAGAAGGATTCTGGCAAAATATTCAACTCTTTTTGCCCCTTGAAGACTGGAGCTTAGTCCTGTATTCATGGCTTTCATTTCAAAGTGAGTCAAATATTTGTATTCTATGACTTTGTGCTGACAATATTATGTCTAGAGTAGTGGTGGCAAGCATTTCTGGGTATGGGGTTTACAATCTCTTCCTAACAGTGTAGCTCTAATTGCTTTGTTTTCCCTTCCATTTTCTGTTGCTTCAGCTGGGAAAAAAACAAAAACAAAAACAAAAACAAAAAAACAAAAAACAACCTGGAAATTCTGAGGTCTCTGAAACAGACCCTGGGCTTTATAAAGCTTTCTTCCCTCTTTGCATCACTTCAGTTTGTATACTACTGAAAGCCATTTCAAAGCATACGACTTGCTAAAAGTTAATATTAATAAGGTTAGGAGGAAAAAAAACACATGACTTCCTAGTAATTCCCTGTACTAGATTTACCTTTCTATTAGTATTTTATGCCATAGCAAAAGAAGAAAAACATCTCCAGATCTTAGCTTTCATTTCAAAATACAATTTGATGGATGGTGAACTTTTACTGGTCTGAAGAGCACAATTCAAAATCAATTACAAACAAAAATGGCTTATTTT